TTTTTTTTGATTGTAACAGTTTACAATGAAAAAAAACACATTTTTTATAGTTTTATTATTTACTTTAAGAGTTGCCTATTAAACCAATAATAAAATTTAGACATTTATAACGAACAGATTCAAATGAAAAAACAGCTATTTTCAATTAATTTTACTTTGAAAAATCTTCAAAAAACAAAAAAATATTGGCGGGTTGTTCAAGAAACTTTTTTTTTTGACGTTTTCCAAATATCAACCAATTATAAAAGTTGAAAAAACGACAGTTTATTATTATTATTATTATGCTTGTCGCTTTTATTAATACAGATTAACCATTAAAAGGAAACATTACAATATAACAACATTGACTTTCTTTTCAACAGTTTTTTCTTTATTCTATAATACATTATTAAGTTGATAGAACTACATCAAACTATCAGCAACCATTTGCTTCTGGAGCATTTTTCCAGTCTAAATTACAGAAGCCACAAGTTGCTCGACAGACCCTAAAATTATGCCACACTTTAGACAACTTTACAGCACCAATCAAAGATCGAAAAAAAACGCTTAAAAAAACAAAAAAAATTTTGAAAAAATAATTTTTTTTTTTGATTTTTTACTAATATTTATTACATAACCGTTTTTTGTCCACCAATAAATATGTTCCTTATGAAAAAAAAGTGTACGTATATACCTAAAAGCAATCAGCGACTGTGATGTATCGCAAGACCATTTTTTTGACGACCATATATCCTTACTGTTTTCTAGTTTTGAGCAAAAGTTTGAGGACATTCGATCGAAGCAGTGTAAGCTGGCATTTTTACCGGTGAAAAACCTACAAAAAAAAACCAAAAAAGATTATATATTTGGTTCTGTAAGCAACAAAAATCAAACTTTTGACGACTAATAACCGTGTCTTTTTGTTGTATCAAAGCAGTGATTAATTATTAGAAGTTAAGTAGTTTTTTCTTATGGCTTAAATAGCTAAAATTTTAAATAACTGAAAAAACCTATAGAAAGATAACTATTCTCTTGTAAAATTTTTTTTTGTCTGATTTATAAGTTTTTGTCTTTTATTTGCTGCAAGAAAAAAAAGAAAAGCTTCGATTTTGACGAAACAATATAACTAAATAAAAAAATTTGTTCTTCTATGTCTAAAAATCAGATAGAAACTGCTATCTTTTTCCAAACAGTCAATTTACTAATGTACTATCTTTTCAGCATAAATTTGTCTTGTTTTTTGTCAAAGTTCAAAATAAAAGCTTTTTATTTAGAGTAAAATAAATGTTTACTTTTTAGATAACACTTATAAATTTCAATTATAAAAAGCACAGATCACGATTTTTGACTGAATCAAAAATTTGAAAATGGTAAACAGCGTTAAAAAAAATTTCTTTGTAGTACTTTAAATTTTATAAAGTATAAAAATCAAAAATTTTCTGAAAAAAAGAGCGAAATTTTTTCTAATGTACTTTGCAGCTCGTTCTCTAAACGGTATCCCCAAAAGGTTGCAGGTTTTACAGCAGCCAACTAAGCTAAAATCTGGCTCTGTACTACATCGAGTTTTGAAGTCGATTTCACTTTGCGAATACATTAATCGACAAGCTGAACCAGAGTTGGTATCCTGAAAAAAAAAGTGTTTCAATTAAAGTTTTGAGCAGAAAAACAAAGTTTATTGATAAAAATAAATTGAATTAAAATAAATTGATACAAAAAAACAAAAAATATTGGAAAGAAGGCAAAAAAAAAAACCAAATAAAAGCCCACCCTACAGCACGGTAAATTTTGGCTATTCGAAACTGAAGAATTAGCTACTCGAGACATATCGCGATCATACAGTTCAAATACTGAAATTTTATTTCAAAATAAAAACAAGTTGCAAGAAAAAAAAGCTTTGAAATAGGATAAAAAACAAAAATTTACTAGCTTTTTCTTATTCCTCTTCTATTTTTTTTTCTACTTCTATTTTATATGATCGAACACTGCCATTAAACTGTTACAACTGCAGCAGAAATATTTTTTGATCAAATACATAAAAATGTTAACATTTTACCGAGCATAGTTTTGAAAATAGACTGTAATTTCTTCTCTGTTTCGTAAAAAAGATTATTCAACAATATGTAGTTTACGCAGTAAAAAAAAAAAGACAAGAATTAAACATTAAAATCTTGTAAGTTGTTCTTTAAGAGAAGCTCAATAAAAGAGTAAAAGAAAAAAAAGCAAATTTCAAAACTTTAATTAACAATTTTTACTTCTATAACGTGGACTAAGTCGTTGACTAATTGCATAAGCTGTAGAAGTTATAACAGCAAAAATCAGTAGTTTCATTATAAATTCGTAAATTTCTGGAATATGTAAAGTTTCAGATGCCTATAAAGGTGGTTGCGTCGTTAGTTGATCTGCTATACAATAACTTGGGTCACAGTTCAAGATGATACCACCTCCGAAGATAGCTGGGTCAGTGATGAATGCAGCTAAATAAATGCTAAGATGAGCAGGTGAACGAAACAATAACCAATCTGATAGCACAACAACTGAGTAAAGTAGATTTTATTGAAAACAGTTTATAAATTCCTGAATTTACTTGTTGCATCAGATGCCATCAAAGGCATCGGCAAATATTAATGACAAAAAAAAAAAAAAAAAAAAAAAAAAAT